TAGTATCCATAAAACATGTATGTTTTTATTACAATTAATTCATGATTATATAAATACATTTTATTTTCCACTTTAGAAATTAATTGTTGTCAAATTCATTTCTACTCTTAGTCTCTATATCTCTGGCAATTTGTCCAAACTGCAGAAAAGCTTTATAAGTAAATTGAAAAAAAAAAATGCTTGATGACAACATTAAATCCACTCCTTTATCAATCATTCCTCTTGATTCAGAAAATTTTCAGGATAACATGTAAATATAAGGTACATGTAATATATATATGATGTTCAGGATTTTAACCCAAACTTTCAAATTAAAAAATAATTTTAAATTGATCATTGCAGCCCTTGCAAGATTTTCCTAATGAAGATTCTCAGGATTACAGATCCTCTAGCAAGGAGACCACACAGGTACATGTAGTGTGTATTAAGTTGCATGGATTCATGGTGACTTAAGACATATGATTGCCACAACAATGCATACAGGGAGATAATAATGTTTATAGGTTGAAAATGTATATGTTTTATATATAGCAAAATTTTAAGATTCCAGTTTTAAGTTTTTGAAACAATTTTTAAATGAATTTTTATCCACAGTGACCAAAAATTAATGTTATTTTTTTTTTTATTTTCATGTGAACAGATAGAGATGACCAGAGCAGAGGACATACAGCCCCCCCCCCCAAAAAAAAATTTCACAGTGGACTGGAAGTAAATCTTACATGAATAATACAAAGTAGGAAAAATAACAGAAAGAAAAGAGGATCCAGTAAAAGTTGTCACTGGTGCAAGATGGACATAGAGAGGGTTTTCTAATGATCATTACTAAAATCCACAGCAAATCAATACTGCAAGGCTGAGCTACTTTTCAAACTTACACAAAAGGACATAAAGAAATGTGAACTCGAGGAAACCAAGCTTACATCAAATGAGAGAATATGAAGGAACACATTTTAGCAAAAATTTTTTTAAGCAGGGCATCTGTTTTCCTTAGAGAATATGTGTATTCTAAATTGATTAATTCTTGTATTTTCAAAAAATGTCACTGTTTAAGTGAAGCATACATTCCAATTTATGTCTTGTTTATTTTTTTCTATAAAAGCAGTTTTATGCAAAGCAGTTTCTTCCCTTTTTATATCCCCTATCTGCAGGAGAGGTGGTATACTGATTTATTATATACCCCCACATGGGCTCACAAATTTAGAGTTTTATATTGGCAGGCTTCACACAGTATGTTATGTATGTTTAGAATATATATGAATACATTTTAACAAAACTGAGAACAAGATTAATTGTGAAACACTGATTCCCCCATACATTTCAGCTTATGTCAAGACTCCCACGAGGTATCCCAAGAAAGGTCTTGCCACAAGTAAAACACCTGTGAAATATGAAAATCTAGTCCAACTTCAAAAGTTGTGGTTAAGGTTAAAGTTTTTTTAAGTCGGTCAATGTCTAAGGTCAAGGTCAAATGGTTAAAAATATTTATACCCATTAAAAGAACATAGTATACATGTAACTGATCATCTGAATATGCTGATAAGCAATGTGGTAATAAAAATTAATTCCACAATATTTAGCATATAAGGTCATTTAAACAAATTTGGCTGCCTTCCCCCAACAGACTAACTAAAATTCAAAACTTTTTTTACATTGCAAGACAGGATGTTTTTTTTTTATCCATCTCATCTCATCAACAAATATTATGAAATTTTCTGGGAAAAAGATTTTACAACCTACCTAACGAGGCAACTTAATAATTTTACCCTGAGCTGGGAGAGGGCAAACAAACATTATAATCAAGATGGTCTTGCCAACTTGTTTTGACATAATATTGTCTGACCTACTTTCATATTTTCATAAAATACTTTCATATCATTTATTAAATATGAGTTTTCCTTTTTACTTTAATTATACATTTTAAAAAATTAACCATGAAACAATTGTTTTGAATTTGAACATATTTTAGTGAATAAATCAAAAGGATTGGACACAATTACAGGCCATTAAAAGATTTGTAAGAATTTTTGGAAACTCACTTGTTTTATTTCATATTTACATTAAAATAACTAGAAGCCTGATTTGTTTCCATGGCAACATTTTAATTTACCTGTCACTGAGTTAATTTCAGAAGTTCTATTTAATTATTGAAAAGAAATTTAAATACTTGACATATGTTCATACTACATAACAATTTGTTCAGTTTGGTAAAACATGTTGTTAGATGATCTTCTCTGTTATTTGTGATTAATGGAGGGGGGGGGGGGGGGGGGTCATTCATGCAATAATTTCTAGAAAGCTGTACATTTACCCATTAATTTATTAATTTTTTTTTATTCTCACAAAACATTAGAATATAAAGTTTATTTAATGATACATGGTTACAAATATATCGGTTGTCAAAATGGTGAATAATTCCATTGAATATGACTAAAAAAGTCAATTTTGGCAAATTGCCAATTTTCATGCAATAATTTCTAGAAAGTTTTTGATTTACCCATTAATTTTTTTTATTCTCATAAAACCTTAGAATATATAGTTTATTTAATGATACATGGTTACGAATATATCAGTTGTCAAAATGGTGAAAAATTTCATTGAATATGACTAAAAAAGTCAATTTTGGCAAATTGCCAATTTTCATGCAATAATTTCTAGAAAGTTTTTGATTTACCCATTAATTTTTTTTATTCTCACAAAACCTTAGAATATATAGTTTATTTAATGATACATGGTTACAAATATATCAGTTGTCAAAATGGTAAAAAATTTCATTGAATATGACTAAAAAAGTCAATTTTGGCAAATTGCCAATTTTCATGCAATAATTTCTAGAAAGTTTTTGATTTACCCATTAATTTTTTTTATTCTCACAAAACCTTAGAATATATAGTTTATTTATTGATACATGGTTACAAATATATCAGTTGTCAAAATAGTGAAAAATTTCATTGAATATGACTAAAAAAGACAAATTTGGCAAATTGCCAATTTGCTAACAACCTTAATGCTGCAATGAAAAATCGCTTAATCTTCATTCAAATATCTTTGAATGAAATTAATTTCTCAGATTTAAGTAATATGAGCTCACATAATATAATTTTCATGTGAATTTTTACTAATTAATTGAATGTGCACAAATTTAATTTAAAACAGAGCAAAATTTGCTTAATCAGAGGGTTCTAAATGTAACATCCCTGTTACCATGGCAACCAAATTGAAAAGTTAGACTTTAACATCATATTTATTAAAGACATACCAATTGTAGTAAATGGTGTGAATTTCAGCTAAATCGGAGATATGTCATGTCCACGACCCTATTTAAAATTTTGATTTTTATAGAGAATTGATATTAAAACATTACTATAGGGTAGGCACTTGGTAATTTAGGGCTTTCCATGGCTATGCTTATGTGCTTTTGATCCTCATCATTTTTTCATTATAAATAACCTTTTTTTCAGATATAGTTTGTGCACAGTGTGAAATCCAGGAAGAAAATCAAGAAAGCAAGTATTTCTTCCGTCCTTTTTCCAGTTTTGAAATAATATACTAAACTAATTAGAAACTCATATAAAAAGTACATGTACACAAATGATGAAAAATTTATGATTATAAATGTTCATCGTCATTTCAATTTATGTTTTCTAGTTGTAGCTTTTTTTCTTATGGCTATTTTTTATTAAGTATAATGAAAGCATTCATATCCTTTATTGAATCTCTTTCAGCAAAATTTACATGAGAAATGTTGATTTTTTTGTAACAATGCTTTTTTCTAATGTGTTGATCTTATTCCAGTCCATACGATCCTCTCTTCCTATATCTTTGTTTGATATTTGATTACATGTCTAATAAGTTACTAGAAAGTTATTTTCAACTCGGCCTAGGGCGCTTCTTATCCTAATGCTTCACTGCTCCCGGTAAGAGGAAACTGTTGTTTTTGAAAATATTTTAAGATGTTGGATTGATTATTTTTGTCCAAGTGGCTCTTAAGAAGATCCTTTAATGACCCCGTCCTTGCCTTTCCTTGATTATCTCCCTTTTTAAAGGGGATTTGGTCCTTCAAGTTAACCCTAAAAAACACAGTTTGCTCTCAATAGCTTGGGATCAAATGCTTTTCAAGTTTGAAATATTGAAAAATACAAATCTTCGCCTATACCCATCATAATTAAGATGAATGCATAGAGCCTGTAATTTTTTTTCTGTAGGTACTAGATCAGCATTTGTATTGTTACTAAACTCTGATGTAATTTTAGGCTCGCCTGATTGCTGGGATGCAAGTTCAAAGATTGTCGCCTATTCCTCAGTTAGCCGTGATGATCGTTCAAAACAGCGTAAGTGTTTTCTTTTCACTGTTCTGTTTTATCTTGTAGAATAATATCATGGTGTACAAGGGGTCACAAAAATACCATAGAGTACTTTAATAAAAATTAAAACAAACAATGACTATCGAAGAAATCCGCAAAATTGTATCTCGCGGATTGATTAAAAAATGTGTTTCTTCAAAATTATAATTCTAAATTAATCTTGTTAGTGATATTTATTCTATGAGCTATTTTAAGTAGGATGATCACAGACCTATAATCTCAGAGGTCGAATCAGCTGCCATGGAGAATAAACATCCTCTTTTAATTGGTTACACGATTCTACCTTTTTATCATGATAGGTTAAATCTTAATTACATAAACTAGTATATTAATAATTACAATGAATCTTTTTATGTAGGAAAAACATTTGTAAAAAAACCAGGTTTAACTTACCTTTTTATGAATTAACACGTAGCCAAAATCTCAAGGCAATTTTTCAATTTTCTAGTATTGTGGAATGTGGGTATTTTTTTCAATTCTGTGTTTTTATGGCCTAAATCAATTTGAATAAGATATCATTTACAAATAACAAACTATACTTATTCAAAATGTGTCATATGATTTTCAAATAGAAATAACGATGAACTAAACTTATTTGAAGCTAAATCTTGTCCTTTTCATTTTTTTTTCTCCAGAAAATGAAGATCACCACACGCTGCCTTCAGGCGATTCCACAGATATACAGGTTGATGTATTAGACGGTGTGTGAATAAAGATTTTGTGTGTATCATGTCTTTTCAATCGAGTTTATTCAATTATTCATTGATATGGGTTTTTTTCCTTTTTGTTTTATAAATTGACTAAATGTGTAACATTACAGAAAATATAAAGTATTCTATGAATTTTTAGGGAATTATTTAGTCGAATCCTCATATGCAAGTTGTAATAATTACACTTTTTCACTCAAAAATCAAATGTTAGGGAGTAGAACATAAGGGGATAATTCATATATTTTTTCCTATTTTTTTCACTTGATGTATCATTAAAATATCTCCCGATAAGTCAGAAACTGAAATGTATGGAGATAATGAACGGTATTGAAAGTCCATTAAATAATACAAAATAGGAGCAGAGAAAACATAATAAAAAATGGAAGATGAGGTTCTGATAAAAGTGTCTACATCGTCTAATTGCACTGCTTGACATATTCCACGAATTCTTATTACCCTTCCCATAAAACCACGAGTTTTTTGATGTCTTTGTTCGTAAAGTCGGTAATTATTATTTACCATCTGCTTTTTTAGTAATAATATAAATAGGATGACCCCCAAAGGGAGTATTTGATTGGTTGAAAGTGAAAGGTAAGTTAAGACCTGTATTAAGAAATAGAGCATTGCCCTATTCTTAATACAGTTAAAATTACGAGATTCGAAAAATCTTATGATACACTGTATTAAGAGTGTATACACGGTAAGATTTTGTATTGATTTATAATACAAATTTTATAATAAAAATCTTACCGTGTATACCGGCCTAAACACACCTGGCCATGCAGAATAATTATCATACCGCGCTAAAAATCGGTATTCAATTTGTCCGCACAGTCAGGTGTGTTAAAGGACAGACGAAATTCCCAAATATGAATTCATTGCTTAAATAATGACTTTTAATTCAGTATTATTTTAGCTTTAAGGTCAGATGACACGTTCCTGGCCTTAAAAATGATCATTATGCCATTTTCCCCTGATTTCTTTTTGCCTTTTCCCTGTCTTTATACCTATATTGTTTTCGCAATAATTTGATACTAAGGGCCTTCGATTGTGGGATATGAAACTATTTTCGGTATTGGGAAAAAAAGACTGCACTTATTCTTTATATCAATACAAAATATATCTCTAATACATTGTATCATGATTTCAGATGATGATGAAAATTGTCGAATGCTGATAGCTGGTCTTACAGGTGTAGGCATAAGCGCCCTAACCAACTCTATTGCCGGAAGTGAAGTTCAAGTATCTAAAAGCTCACCGAGATCTGTTACTCAAAAAGCCTCTCAAATAAAATGTAAAAGAATGGAAAGATTGCTAGTATGTTTTGACACACCTGGAATGTCTACGATTGATGACACAAAAATAGTTCAGGAACAATATGAGAAATGTTTGATCAAAGCCGCTCCTGGATTTCACGCCATATTAGTCGTGCAAAAAGCTACAAGCTTCTCAGATCACAACGAAAAATTCCTAAACAATATCACAAAGATGTTTGGGGAGGACCTATGGAAATTCGTTGTGTTTGTCTTTACTCATATTGATCAAATAGGGGAAAATTTGGAGGAAAAAATAGCAAAGGGAGACAAGCGCTTGCACTACTGGCTTCACAAATGTGAACACCGGTACGTGGGAATTAATAACAGGGCAAAAGGGGAAGAAAATGAGCAGCAAATTTCAAAACTGCTCGACGTTGTGGAGAAGATGAAACGGGTGAATGTTGATAAGATATACACCAATGAGGACTTTAAGAAAACCTATAATATGCTGAAGATTGCTGCACGTGACTTAAAGGTGTCCGTTCAAAATATCCAGGACAATCCAGGAAAAATATTAGGATTTACATTAGAAGTATTAAAATATTTTAATAACCCTTGAGGCCGAAAAATAGAGGGAAATAGAGAGAAGAAAGAGGGGGGAGAGCGAAGAGAGAAGGAAAGGAGAAAGCAAAATAGTGAGAGCGGGGAGAGAGAGCAAGAGACAGAGACGCAGAGAGAGAGAGAGAGAGAGAGAGAGAGTGTGTTATTTTCATAATGATCTCTCGTGAGCCATATGTTAAAATACATATTTTTTTTCTTTTATACTGTAATTGTTTACTGTATCATATATGAACATTTATCAGCTTTCACTAATAACGCATCGTTAGAGACTGCCTACCGCAACTTTATTTGTCACGGGATAAAATATGAATTTTCCGGATTCAATATACATTATTGTGTAGATTTTTGTTATTAATCTTTGTTCTATTCTATATTTTGTATTAAATTTTGTCAATAATGTGAGCCTTATTCCAATATTTGAAACATTAAAAAAGATTTAACTAGTTCCATTGATACTTATTGCTCCATCACTGTTTCTTTTGTTCATTTTTAGTCTGAACATTCTTATTATAGCTGGTGTTAGTGTTTACTAAGGACAACTCACAAAATTATACATATATTCATACACTTTTCAATTTATTTAAAACAAATTCTAGACTAAAATCTAAAAAAAATATTTTGAACATTGACGTATTAAAGGTTTTAAGAGTTTTTCCTATCAACAATACGAGAAACAAAACACTAATGGCTAAAGATAAAGAATTTTCAATCTTTTTCATGGGTCAATCGAAAACATTTATTCACAATAAATAAAAGTCTTTTCACAAAGAAAACACAAATGTGACAAATGAATACCTTAGCATTGAAGTAAACATTTCAAATTCAGTGTTATTTTTTATATAGATAAGTTTAACACCAAGGTCAAGGTCAAAGTGTCACAATTGTTTGCTACCAAGATAAGGACATATCCAAAGAAATACACATGAAATTGGAAGTCCTAGCACAAACAGATCAAAATTTAGTGCCAAGAACGTACAGATCATTTTTTTCAAAAGTAAATTAACTTTCAAGGTGGAAGCCAAAGAGTCAAAAAAGGAGATTCTTTTTAAACACAAAGCTTTGAATATCTGGCCGATTCAGTATCCATATTGATGTGCAGACATTTCAATTTCCTTAATCAAGAACGTAAAGATCATTTATTAGAAATTTTTTACAGGTTTTGTCTTAGCTTGTTTGTTTGATAATGTTGTATAACGTCCCTCTGAAGTATTTTTTACCTGAAATGGAACGACACCTCTTGCCAGTGCAGAGCAGCAATTTTTTCATATACTTGACACTGAAGAGCACACAACAATGAGGGATCTTTTTCGTGCTAGCACCTACTGCGACACGGGATCTAGGTTATACGGTCTCATCCGCAGAGTGTCCTCGTCCCACAGTGGGATTCGAATCTGCGACGTAATGTTCAACTCCTAACTTCACTATTCTAAATCAGACGCTCTAATCACTGCGCCACACGTACAAATCTTTAGTTTTGTAATGTATAAATCTCATTCACTTGTCTGCAAAACAATAATTTTTTCTCATTTGTACATTTTGACGTTATGAGATTGGCTCAAAGTGCACATTAAAATTAATTATATCAAAGAAACCTTCAAACATCAGCTAAATATGGGATCAGTAATAAATGTATATTAGGATTCAATTCATGAACCTGTCCCTGCCAATCTTTCTTTACACCATTATTATAAAAGATGTCATATTCTTAAAAAGCTGAAATTATTATTCCATTTCCAATTGTTTTTTAATTATAATAAACTTATTTTGACACAGAGATAAAAGCTTAAAAAAATATTAGGAGTATTTCTTGTTACTGGCTAAATTTGCATTTTATTTTCTGCACGCTCAAAACATCTTTAAAATTTATAATTTTCTATCATAACTTAGCTGTTTTTTAAATATTTTATTATACTTCTTCCCTAAAATCTAAAGACATCATCACTGATAGGACTATAATAAATCCATGATGTAGGAAGTAAAATAGCATACTCGAAAGGTTTGCTAGAAGGTAAGATCTTCTGTAGAACATTAATTAACACCGGCTCTAAAGAAACAGAATTAATACGTTCAAAAGCAGTGCAAAGTATGACTTTGCAAATTTCATTTATAAAAGCTACAATATGAGGTTCAATTGCAGATTTAAAGCTAACTAACATGTCAATGATTGATGGTGGAGGGGTATATTCTTTGGCTTTACATTCATTTACAACAGACATAAACCTTTCGATTTGATCTTTTGTCTGCTCTTGCGTTTCAAAATCGTTTTCAAATACCACAATTCTCTGTTCAACAGCTGTATATAGATTGAATAGCTCTTCTATAGCTGTCCATTTGAAAAAATCCTCTTCACGATAGTTTTTTCCTTTCGTAATTATGATAAAAGTTTTTCCAAGAAAATGTTTAAATTTCGTAAGAAAAATCCTGATGCACGATATTTCTTCCTCCTGTATTCTTTGTGCAGGAATAACAAACCCTATGATATCACTTCCTACTAATGCTCGATTCAGTTTCCTAATTACAGGTCCTCTCAATGCTGGGGTATCCAATAATGTAATGTTGAGTTCTTTCACAGGATATTGAGTAATGTCTTTTGTTGTCGATTCGGAACTAAGACCAGTCGTAGATCTGGCCACATTCTCTCCTATTATGGTGTTGATTGTTGCACTTTTCCCAGCACCACGTGGTCCTATCACAAAAACCCTCTGGGGAACTGAGATGGAAAGTAGAATAATTGTTTTATTAATTAAATATGTATTTCATCTGCCATGTGCCATTTCGGTTGCAACCTCCATAAAATACAAAACAAAACCTTCATAAAAATGTTTCTTGACAGTGGATTACAATTTATTAAATATTTTGCCATGCAATTAAAGTTTTCCCATAACACAATGTTGTATAAATATAATACTTTACATACATTAATCGTACATGTATATACATTTTATATGATGCATATAGACTTTTTTATATATATAGAATAGAAAGGGCTTTACTTATCCAGGGGGAAAAGATGTAGAGCTTAAGAGCATGATGCTTAAAAATACATTTAAGGGTAACATCTGTCAAAACACATTTAAATTATGGGCAAAACTTGCATAAATTGAAGATGTTCATATCCGCCAAAAATAAAGGTTTTTTATATGACTTCTATAATGTTGAATCTCAGTCAATTCAAGAACTTAAAATCATTTTATTAAACATTTGTTGATTTCTCACTATAGAGGTCAAATATGTGTTTACGGAGTGGTATTAAATATCATATCGCAGCGAGACGTTCGTTTAGTTACCGTTCTTTACTCACACTTGTTAACTCTCATAGCTCTTCATGTAAGAATGTCACATTGTTTAGTAAAAGAACATATTATGTAATGATTTTATGCAAATTATTTAAACACAATAATGTATCTATATTTTTTAATTAATATTGAGATGGATTAAATGAAAAGAATGCAGTCCTCGTAAGAGGAACATTGTAAAAATATTAAATACATTGTTTTGCAAATGTGGACGATGTCCTGATAAAAAACGAAGTAAAATTATCTTATAAACTTATAAATTTTTTCAATATCCATATCAATATCATCTTTAGCGTTTGTTGTAAATCACACAAATATTTTGTATCATCTTTTGTAGGAAGAAATTTTGAAGCCATTTCCCTTGCCTATTAGATTACTTCAATAACTAATTATTTATTGGTGTGCAGTGAAATGAAAGGAGCCATTCTTGCACAACAGATTTATGTGAAATATGAATAAAGGGAAATTCAGACAATTCATCTGTAAGCAAGGTATTTGGATCTTGTCGTGTATCAAACTTCATACTAGTAACTTATAAAGAAGAAGGGTAACATTTAACGGTTTGTTTGAAAACAATTTACATTTTTTTGCTTAACGGGTCTCAGAACCCAATACATGTTCAGCACACTTTCCCCTGGTCCCCAGCAGAAATAAATAGGATTCTTATTTATTCCTCACGATTTATCAAAGACTTACCCAAAACATGTAAACTCCCGGTATCCATTTCACTGAAAGCATTGGTAATTATTCTAGATACCATTGTAGTATTTATCACGTGACTCTGTACATAGCTTTAAATATGGAGAAAATATGAAATATGCCCTGTGCTTATTGAATCACTAAGTAAATATTTACTTGTTAGTGTGCAACGAAATCAAAGGAACTGTTTTGGCGCAACAAGCAAACTTGTTTTTGCTTGCATAAGACCCAAAACGGAATTTGAATAGCATATTTTTAATTTGAAACCGCTTCATATGTTTTAGGCCATGGCTGAAAGTAAAGAAAATAAAGGTGAGTTTATGGAAGGAATGGAATGGCTTCTAATTTATATCTAATTACTCAAAATGTCTTTCCAACAAAAAAGAATTGATAGTATTTGATACAAACGTCCATCTATCTCATTATGATTTTGAAATATTTGCCTCCTAGCGGATAACCATGAATTTAATATTTTCCTAATACTCATTTCACAAAGGTTTTTTATATTGTGTACTGAAAAAAACGTTCCAATGCATTGTCGCTTTGCACTAGCACGTTGAATGGTAATTGTAGATAGTTTTGTAAGAAGAAGGTATGGTTTCCATGCAAATTTTGCCCTGTGATTTTCTAAAAAATGAAACTGGTGTAAAAATGGAAAACTCATGCTTTTTAAATAATTGAAATTCAATACAGAAATATCATACAAGTCATTTTTCTCACATGTGTTTATGACGTCAAAAACATGTGCATTTTCCCGTATTTTCTTAAAAAGTTGCAGAAGACACCAATTTTCAATGGAATTTTCTTTCAGGTAACATTGTCCACAGGCATCGCCCACAAAGATCTGTAGATATGTGATTTGTTATTGAATTTTGCACAAAATATCAAAAAATTAACGTGGGCGACGGCTGTGGACACTATTTTCTAAAGGAAAATCACCCTTGAAATGTGCCATTTTGAGCCTTTTTCTGTTGAAAATAGAGAAATGATTTACATTAATGACCTCATATTTGCAGAATGGTAAACCTTCATGCCATTTTCTTTCTTGATTATTCAGAGTCATTTATTTAACTAATATTTAAGCCAGTTTCAAACCTTTTTGATGTCATTACATTTTTAGGGCGCAATAAAGCTAAAACCATACCTTCTTCTTTATATTCAATTTAATCAATTAAATTACTATGAAAATTTGATTTCCAGATTTTTCATAAATTCTGCTTCATACTTTTAGGCGCCGAAACTTTTTGCTGTCCGATTTTCTTTTTAGACCGAGCACACTTCATTCTTCATTTTAATACATATTCTGAATATTTCCGTTTATTAATATCATGAACTACTATTCACACAGAAAGACAGACAAGATAAGCATTTTTTAAGAAATGTACATTACTGACTTTTCAAACAATCAAATGTTTGAATAAGTAAAATTAATGGTAAATGGCATTCATTTAAAAAGGAGTCTTGCACAATACTGTGTACAGTTTTATTTTCGCCCCGTTTTATTTTCGCCCTTTCACACTTGCAGACAATTTTGCCCCGTTTTAAATTCGCCTTGTCAAAAAATTAAGCTAAGTACTAATACTGTATTATATGTATTCGCCCCGATTTAAATTCGCCCAAATGAGGCTAGGGCGAAAGGGGCTAAAATAAAACCAGGGCGAAAATTTCCCCGTATACAGTATGTTAATGGTGACATATACTGAGTATTTGGCACATACTCTTCATGCAATATTTATATTAAATAAAATGCTTAAAAAGGAAAGCTATTTTGTAATCCATTAATACTACGATATAGTATTTTTTAAAATTCAAATGTACACTAAAAGTTTATGATTAACACTTTATTTGTCCATTGCAAGAATTATCTAGATATCATTGTCACTTTCTTTAATATGTAGAATAAGCAATTAACATGAATTGTTCTATCAATATGCCTGGAAACATTATTTTGAAATAAATTATCAAAAAATGAGTACAGAATGTACCCCTGGGAGCAGAGCATTTTTAAAAAATATACTAATTAGAGAAAGGAGAAGAAAACAAAAGTTCCATTATGGGAGTAATACTACTGTCTCCATAAAAAATTACAAAAACTGTTCACCTTACAGATGTATTTCATAAAAGCTTTATTCATGTTTAACTTAATTTAATAAAATGTATGCCTTAATACTTTGGCAAGGATACTGAAACTCAATCGAGATTCTCCGCTGTTTTGCGGTCGTTAAAAACCTTCAACCTCTTCAATTAGTCAGCATTGAACCCCTCATCCCTCCGTCCAGTGCTCAATAACATAATTAGGTCAAATATTATTTGTTCATGAGGGATACTGTATAATTAATGCAAATCGTTTAACTAAAAAAACTGTTTTATGATTATAATCAGCAGTGCGTCCTCTACCAAAATTGTGAAATTCATGGCCTTGGGGTCAGGGGTTCCTAACCAGTTGATAAATCGCGATCGCAGGATTTACAGAGTATATACCGAGGACCTAATCCCTTTATTTCTTTGACGTTATTGTTCTACGTATTGGCAATGTTTTGGTAAATAATTTTACTAATAAGAATTCGACATAACAGCCACTCTTCATAAACAGATACACTGCATTTTGTGAATTTCTTACCAGAGGGCATATTATGCCGAGTAATACTAAACAAATCATTGGCAGCGCTTTGTTGAAGTTTCCATTGTCGATAGCTAGCGCCTTATGAAGGATCCGGTGTCGATATATATTGCGTTAAATCGTTGGTTACGTGACATAAAGCGATAAGCAAATGCCCTAACCGCTTAAAATGTGCTTCGATTAAAGTCAACAGAGCTTTAAAAGACTGGTAAAATAGTCCAAGGTATATCGAGATTGTCTGATCTCCTCCTACAAGTCGACAAAAGAAAGAATTGTTTAAGGGCATGAAATTTGTCCCACATTACTAGTGTAAAAATTCAAATTCAAAGTTGCATAGTTTTTCACAATCCTACAAAGATAAGAATCGTTTAAAAGTCTAGAATAACAATGCACTGAACACGTGGCTACACTTGATTCCCTTCCATGTATTGGAAACCGTACTCAGTGTCAGGTTTCAATTTTCTCCAAAACCTTTTCGAGCAAGTTGTGAAACTTTTCGGAATAACAGCATTAGACAAATATTTCTTTTCTGCACCCTACAATTACTACAGGAATTTGATACAAATGTTTGTCGTTTATTTAAATGCAAAGGCACAATTCTGTGTTTCTTAAGACTGTTGAGAGATCGACTCAGAGATAGAAAATTTTTAGGGAAAAAAAAGGTGTTAATAATGCAATTATAAAAATATGCTTGAGTTTCTGATTGACAATACCTATGTGGTTTTTGGAATCTGATGATTCGGAGTACCGTGTTTGCTCTGCTCCTATTTTGCATTGCTTTATTGACATTGATATTGAATAATATTAAACATCCACGTAAATAAGTTGAATATGATTGGTCGAGATTTGTTTAAAAATACTCTTACCTGCTGAATCCTGAAGCCACGCCCTTCAGCGTAGCAAGAGTTAACAATGCTTGACGACGGACGATATTCCAAAAAATAACGACTGTGCAGAATTTATGCGCGCAGGGTTCACTGTTATATGTATTTGTATAAAATATTCAGTATTATACAATAAATATTCCAGTAACTCAACTACATGAAATATTTATATACTGTTTGTTATCTCCATATCTTTCCTTTCCCATTTCATAGACACATAATAGGTAAAAGGTGAAAAGAGGAACAAGTATGCATTGTTATAAAGATTCATTCATTATATATATATATATATATATATATATATATATATATATATATATATATATATAGAAAGCACAAAGAAATTCACTTTTACATGGATACCCACTTCCGCCTTAGCCCGGGGTTGAACTCTCGACCTTCGGAATCTGTCTCCTAGCAGTGCAGGAACAGCGCGCTAGACCGCTCGGCTATCTAGGCAAGTTAAAAAAACTTGCTTTCGATGCCGATGGAACTCTCGCGGCGCTGCCCTACACTACACGGTCATTGAGAATAGAAGTGAGATACAGTTATTTGGACATTAGTTTTTACAGAGGATTGTTACCAATACATGTTGTAATGAAATTAATTATTATTTATAAAGCACATTTTACAACAACTCTTAATTGTTAGTTTAAGAGTTGTTGTAATAAATATATGTCATTTTTTGATATTAACAAATCGAATATCTGATATCAAAAAGAAAACCCCGAACTTCAGTGCCAGATTTGCTTTCTACTAAAATATGTTGATTTCAGATGTAAAGATTATCATTTAAATGAAAGAATTAGATAAGTGTTCTCGATATTGTGGTCATATTTATTTGCATGGACTTAATATATTAGTTTCTGGGGGGTAAATTTGAGTAACTAATCTAGGTGTGCTGTAGGTCGGGCTTTGATAGAGAATTTCTCTGTAACCAGTATCAAAAGCAGCCTTTAGCTTCTCCAATTGCATATTTGTGTAGGTAATGTTACGTCATATCTGATCAGCAAGAACTCGGTGTGTGGTTGCAGAAGTTTATTCTTCAATGTGAATTATATGATCGAGCCTTCCATAAACTCATTAAGATTTTGCTCAAGTTATGTGTGTACAATTAATTGTTAAAAATACAGTCAATAGTGCAAAAGAACGACGGCAATCTAACATCCGGACGATTCTTGTTTTTATATATCAGAAAATACCTCAAAAATATTAAAACGGCGCCTCATATAGTTAACGACAACACCGTTCGTTAGGAAAAAGACAGGGATCAAACATTTTATAGAAAAAAAAAACTATTTCAAGGCATTACCAGTTCATTTTCTCACTAATATGACCCCAAAGGCAAGAGATTGTTCTCAAAAGCTTTAATTCGGAACAAGAAAAAAGAAGAAATAAATGTTTTGGAATGCATCTAATTTCCTCTATCCATAAAAAATAAAATTCAAATGCATAAAACTGATTCTTGTTTAAGGAGGAATTGTTGATAAACATGTGTATTGTTATTTTTAGGCCCATCAGACTGCTGGGATGCAAGTTCTAAGATTGTCGCCTATTCT